AGTTCTTTTCCCCTGCTTGGGAAGTTTTCTGTCATCACTTCTGTGAACAGTTTTTTTATGTCATCTGCACTCTCTCCTGTTTCTTCACTGACTCCAGTCAGTCTTATGTTATTCTTCTTTGCATCGTCTAGCAGCTGCCAGATTGATTTCTCATGGTCCCTTACAATTTTGAAGCAATTTTTCTTTTCCTGGTCGCTAATTGCAATCTTCTATATCTGAAATTCTGTCCTCACATTGGTTCATTCTACTGCAGAGACTTTCAGTGGAGTTTTTAATCTCCTGGAAATCTGTTTGTATCTGTTTTATGGATTCCATTTGTTTTCTATGTTGGGATTCCACCATCTTCCTCAGCTCCTCTCTAGATTTATTAATCATGTCTTGCACTATGGGCACAATCTCTGCTGTTATCTGAGAAATTATTTTTTATTTCATTTTTCCGAGATCTTCTTTTGTTGCCAGTTCAGCGAGTCTAGGTGGTTGAGTATCAGCTTGTTCCATCTCATTTCCCTTTGGGGTCGGTGTAGGTGATCCGGAAGTCTGGTTTGGAGACTTATTTATGTGTCTTCTCATTTCAACGGGGGAGGGGGGTCTGCTGGCCCCCAAGCATTTCACCTCCTCTGCCCTGGGAGTGGAGGAATGGCAGCCAGGGAACCTCCCTTTTGTGTATTTTTGAATTTATGAAAATAGTATCTCTCTGAGTATGTTCCCTGGACATGCTTTCATGAGATTGATCCGGAATGACACATTTTACCAGCGCAGCTCCTATCGCCTGTGTTTGTACAGTATTATAAATTACACATTAATCCTCCTTACCAGGCATTAGTGTTGTGTCTGTGGTTTTACTGTCTCCTCGTATACATGTCTGAGTGTCTCTGTGATGTGTACTTTGATCCTTGGGCATATTTCTGTGAGCTCTTTTATTTATTGTTTCACCACGCTTAGTTGTCTAGTCCTTTTTACTGGTAACAGTGTGGTGTGACTGTTTTCTTCATTGCCAAAATTGGTATTTTCAAACACTGTTTGGTTCATTAACATTCCTTGAGTGCTTACTATGTGTACCAACGCTGCACACATAGTGTGCTTCAATAATTCTGGAGAAGAAAGCATTGCCTCTGACATCAGTTGGATGGTGTATAAAAATGTCAGGCTTTTACCGATAATGTGTTAATCAAGATGCAGTAGATCCCCACACCAAGGAGCCAAAACTTCTATTATAATCCTGCCTCTAGCTTGACACACTAGCTTGGAACCCTAGGCAGATCACTCAGTCCTTCTGAAAATATTTTCTCATGTTAAAAGGTTAAGTACTTGTCCGCCTCTCTCATCAGTGTATATTGAGGATAAAAGCAGATGGTGGCTGTGAAATCATGACACAAACACGAGGGGTACTTCACATGCAGGGACTCACACATGTGTGGCTGTCTGGGTTCCTGTTGTTGGTGCCAGTGTGTTTGCCATTCTTAGTCTGTCTGCTGTGTTAGGTGCCTGCCGTGCTTTGTCTGCTGCCCTGGCCCTTGCCTGTATGTGAAATACAGACATCACTTAAGTACCATGGAAGCTGCAGCCAACAGTGGAATACCAGGCCTGGTTACATAGCAAGGAAAGACCTGTGCCCCTGTGAATATCGTTCCATCTTTTTCTAAGAGATTCCCCTGCACACATTCAGCCACCCAAGTCTGGGAGCTGCATCTGTGTTCTGGGTGAGACACTGCTTCTTGGGCTGAATAGTTATCCCAGAACTGGTCATCCAGAGAAGCAGGAAATTTTATAGTGGGAGGGTGGGATCTTAAGGAACTGGTTCACAAGGTTGTAGGCCCTGCAGACTGGGGACTGAGATGGGATTAACACTGCACACTTAGGTCAGCTCTGCTGGGCAGGCCAGAGAGCGTGCAGGCCGGTCTCCCTGTTGAAGGGATGAGGCGGAACTGCATCTGTGGCAATCTTCAGTCTTTGCTCTCATGGCCTTCCGCCGGTTGGATATGGAAGTAGTCTGCTCTACTCAGAGTCTCAGATATTAATCACATCTTTAAAAATACCTCATGGCAACATTTGGGCCAGCATGTGACTAAGCAGCTGTACACATGACCTCACCATCACCAGGAACTTGGTCCTGAGAGCACCTATCAGTGGTCAGGCCATCTGGAGCCTGTCCACACCTTGGAAAGAGTCACAGTATCTCTGGTGAGATTGTTGGTCACCAAGCAGCTCGGAGTGCCGGGTCCTGAGCTTCTGCCCACAGTACAGTCTGTCCTGATCCAGAAAGTGAGGCTCTGTGGGGCTCGTGTGGACCCTAGGGGAGGCTGCCACACTGCCCAATTGTCTCTCCAAGTTGCCATCCACCAGGTTGAGGGCAGCACTGCCCCCGGTACTGGTTCCCTATGAGCTGTGAGCATGGGGGTGCAAGTCCTTTGTGGTCAGCCTGAGCCAGCCAGGAGAACTGTTCGGCCTCTAGGATTTGAACAGACTGGAGTGCTGTGAAGTACACAATTCTCTTCCCTCACTTCTCCTTGGCTGAAACCCTCTCTGTAAATTTTCCAAGCATCATTCCTTCTTGTCCAGTTGGAGAGCTTTTTAATTTGTTTTTAAGACAGGGACTCACTGTGTAGCCCAGGCTTACTCTGAACTTGTGATCCTCCTGCCTCAGCCTTCTGAGTGCTAGGATCACAGGTGTGTACCACCATGCCAAGCATCTTGATATTTCTTTAGAAAGAGCAACTGGATTGACTTTTTTTTTAAACCCTGAAAGAAAATATTAGAGTCAGAGTGACCTCCACCCACTTCCCCACCTACCTTCTTATCTGGTGCTATGTGATGCTTAGTTTGCGCACAGCAAGACCCCAAAAGATTAGAAGAAATGTCCCGAAGTCAGAGAGCTTAGAGTGTAGTCAGAGACTTGAACCGGGTGCTTGTAGTGAAGCTGGCTAACCACAGAGAAATTATTTACTGATCCAATGTCTGCAGTTCATTATTTTATATTAATAACCAGAGGGATTTTTCTTATTGACTGGAGATTTTAGCCACGCCTACTGGCCTAGTAGAAGTGAGTTACTTAGTCCCAGAAGAAAAGCTGAAGTTGTTGGAACAGAACATGAAATGATTAGGACTTTCCTTCTTTAAAGAAAAAAGAATAAGTAAGAGGTATTACTGAACTCTGTCAAATCATAAAGGAAATAGGTTGTTTGGAACCACAATAAAGGTGGGGATGGTGGCACACACCTATAATCCCAGCACTCTGGGAGGCTCAGGCAGGAGGATCCCAGATTTGCAACTTACCACAGTGATAGCAAACCTCTTAGAGCTTTCAGTGATGCAGCAGCCTGCTGTGGCACGTGTGTCACAGGTTTGCCACTACTGACTTAGGGAGGCCTTGTCTGTTTTAATATATAAAATAAAAAAGGCCTAAAAATGTAGTTCAGTGGGAAAGCTCTAGATTCAGTCCTTGGTAATCATCATCAATATCATAAAGTTACAAAGTTTACAACTGTTATATACCTCCTAAAACAACAATATCTCGTTCCACTCTCATAATATTTAACAGATTCATTTATTTCTATTTTGTCATGTCTCAATTGATTAAAAATACTTTTAGAAAATTGTGATTGAAAACAGATCTAACTTGAGTAGTTTTCCTTTTTAAAGTATAAGTATATGTTCAACATATTTGCTTTTACCCAGAAAAAAAACTTACTTAGAAAAATAAAACTTGGGTGTAGTACCATGTGGTGTAAACAACTGAACTATTTTACTTTTTGCTTTCCTATGAATGAGCCAATATATATTTATTACTGGAGTTCCAGCTATAAAATTCAGGTAAGGGGTTTAAATATACCCTAGAGTATTATTTAAAAATAAATTTTTTCTTTCAAATAGAATACCAATCTTGGTCTGTGACATTTGGGAGAGAAATTAAATTATTGAACTTTTATTGCCTAGTACACTGAAAATAAAGTTTAAATAAATACAAAGCAGAAAAAAATATACATATAACATCACAACCTCTAAAAAGACAAACAGCCTCCTGTTCTCTACTGTGAGGGTTTTATCAGCACTAGTAAGTAATTCCACCTCCAAGGCCAGGCTAGTACTCAAAAATGTAAACAAGCATGTGCTTTGTTTATGTAAAGAAATATGCAGGATGACTTGTTTCATTATGGATGTGGAACAGCTCCATGGATTGTTTCAAAGCACCAGTAGGGGCCAGCAAAGAGCTCTTAGAGTTTTCAGAACAGAATTGGCATTGAGATATGTTTATTTGATGTGTTAAATCCTTTTTAGACTTCTTTACGCACCACAACCTCTGTTAAGTGAACGAATTGCAGAGAGAGTGGAATGAAATGCCCAATGTGCTCAAACTATATTGGGTATAGTTTTTCTATTTAATCTGCATATATTTTTAATGGAATGTTTGCTTAGGATATTTCTTGGCAGAGTTTTAATAGTCAAACTATAAATGGCATCATTTAAAGACTGTACTGCTTGGCTGGAAAAGGCCTTAAAATTACAGGAGAAAATGCTTAGTGACAGTGTCTCTTACACTTCTTTTTTCCCCCCCAAACGTATGCCCATTTTTGCAGTAGTATCACTAGGTTTATTTTGCCATTCTATGTGTAAACTTTCACTTTTTGTAATTGGTATTTTGAAAGCTAAAATATTTATCTCTTGATTTAATGCTGAAGTTTTAATTCACCCCAACATTTTGGCATTTCCAAATTTACACAACTGTTTGAATCTGCTCAATTTAAAAAATTTAACCATCCATATTCCTTTCTGCCTTAACTAACTTGCCAAGATTCTTAGTATGGGTACTATCTGGAAATTTAATCTTTGATTTGACACTCAATTACATGAGGCTTCATTCCTACCAACTTCCTGTAATTCTATACCTTCGGGTAAAAATATTAGTGATCAGACTCTGCTGGAGAAAGTATAGGCACTGAGACTCCCTCCCGGAGTTAAATGTGCATTTAGTAGAGCTGGTGTGAAAAAATACTGTTTCAGCTTGGAATGTTAGAAGGCTGTTGTTCTTGGGTTACTCATTCATGTGAATTGGAGAAGGTATAATTGAAACAAGGCTGGCTGTGTTCGAGTCAGTGTGCTGCTGAGCTCAGCTTAAAGGTCGCTGGAAATCAAGCGCTGTGTGAGTGAATACGCTTGAGCTACGAGCAATTCAAGACATTTGGGGAACGTGCATCCAGGAGTGTGTCAACGTTCTCCTTTTATGATATCTGCTAATGAACGTTTTAAGCAGGATAAAGACCACGACTTGAGAGCTGTCAGGCACCACAAATGACTGGCGCTTTCGCTGCAGCACAGCTGCTCCTAGCCTGTCTGTGGACAGAGATCTTTGTTTTGACTCTCAGCCCTTAACATGTTTGGAAATGAGAACAAATGGCACAAAGCTTACGATTGCACTTTGCAGCCCAAAGAAGCAATACTTACCCTTTGTCAGAAAGCTCTGCAGATGATCTAGGTAGTCAGGCTCACATGTGCTTCCAGAGACCAGCATGGATTTCCTCAGCCAACATTGTTCAGATGAAGCTGACTCCCAGGCAGACTGCACTGGCTCCACTGACCAAGGAGAGTATGACAGCTCACGAAGAACCCTCTGTCCCTTCACCTGAAAACATCCAGAAGAAGAGCAGCTGCCTGCAGATTTCACTGCAGCCTCCAAGGTACAGTGGGAGTCTTCAGCCTAGCAGTGTGTTAGCAGATGGTGACAAAGCTTCGTTCCCTTGTGCCTTGAAGGATGGCATCCGCAGCAGTGCTGGGAATGATGGTGACCTGGTAAGCAGTCCTGCTGTCTGTGATGGAAGCCTGGGGAGCTTTGCAGCCAGTGAGCATGGGTCCTACAGCAGCATCAGCAGCGATTACGGGTCGTGTGTGAGCAGTGCCAGTGGAGGCTCCTACACCAGCAGTGTCGTCAGTGACAGCAGTGGTCACGCTTTTCCACCAAGCAAGGGCACTTTTTTCAGTGGAAACTTATCTGCTGACAGCACCTCCAGCAGAAATGTGCCAAACAGGAGTGCCGCTCCCTGTGAGAGTTTTTCAAGGAGCCCAAGCACAGTTCCCTTTGTCCAGAATGACTTGGAGCATGGACTCCAGACTGTTAAACTGCCAGTGAGCAGGAATGCAAAAATTCCACTGAAGCGTTGCTCCTCCTTAGTCATTTTTCCTCGGAGTCCCTCAAACACCCCACCAACTTCTCTAGCAGGTACAGGTGTTCTCCCCAGCAAGGGTCCCTGTCAGACCTCACAGCAGCTCATCGTTTGTCCTGGTGAAGCTGCACATCCTGAAGATGGTTCTGGAGCCAGGGGGTTTCTGTCGACTGCTGTCAGTGGACTTCGATTATCTAAAACAGTCTGTGCTCATGGCAGACTCAGAGATTCACGGCCACTTCACGCAGGCTCATCCCAGAAGAAAGTTGTGATTTCAAATAATAGTCCAAAGCAGAGTGTTTGTGAAAAGTCACCTGAAGGGTATACATGTGTTTCCATGCATTTCACCCAACGAAGAGCAGCCACGTTAGACTGTGAAATAACAAATGGTGATTGTAAACTGGAGATGTCAGACATTCAGCCCAATTCTGATCCAGAGTATACTAAGCCCCGGCACAGAGCATCCTCAAGTGTGCCGACCCCTCAAGACCCGGACTACCAAAGAAAGCACAGTGGCGAGCTGGAAAGATCAAGTTCACAGACAAACAAAAGCCACACTGTCTTACAAAGAAGTATTTCACTGGGAGGAACTTATCCAAATGTTTCCTGTTTATCCAGCCTTAAGCACAGTTGTTCTGAGGGGGGACCATCGCAGTTACTCATAAAGTTTTCATCTGGAAACGAAGGTGAAGTTGACAGTTTATCAGGAGATAGCGCCAGCAATTTCACAAATGGACTGGCTAATTCTTGCAAGGTAGGTTGCCTTTGGTCTTATTTAATGTCAGTTTATGTTACAATAAAGTGTATTATAATTTAGCAGTTTATGTGGCTTCCTGGTCCTTAGCTAGCAAGTATTTTATAGTCGTAAACTTTATATTTGTGTAAAGCTGAAGACTCCCCCTTGTAATTTTCCCATTCTTTGTCTTTTCACAGATTGACAAACTGTATTTAAAAACACTTTCCTAAATGATTTAAGCCATAAAATGTTTCTGTAGCATAAAACTAAGTTTTAAATAATCTCTCATAACACTTTATCCTGATACATTTTTCTTTCAGGTAGCACAATATTTTCATGTGTAACTCCATATTATTCCTACTTTCAAAAATGATCCGTTTTCTCCTTAGTTATTGTGAAATAAAATAAATATAAAGTTCTTATTTAAAATATTAAACCAAAATATAAAAATGTAGAGATCTTATAATTAGTATAGAAGAAATATTTCAAATACATATATTTATATGATCATTGATAAAAACTATCATATTGCACACTTAAACAGGGAAGCTAAACATAATTTTCCTTTGTATATACCCTAACCGTAGGAATTTTGTTTCTACTCTGTTTTTCTGTAGCTATCAGTTAATACTGTCTTTGAAAGTGTAACTCAACAATATTCATTTCTGAGTTTTATGAATGCATCTGCTTTAAATTACTAGGTATTTTCCATCATTTTCTATTTTCAGTATTAATTTGTTGTTTAGACTATTGTGCTTCATTATATTAGTAATTTAATAAATCTTAGTCAAAATAGGTCTCTATAAATAATTTGTCTTTTCAAAAGAATTAGAAGTGTTTTGAACTGAAATAGTTTTTTTAAATATCTGTATTCATGTCTTAGTAGATTTGAGGAAATTTTAAACATTTTCTGACTAAACCCGGTCTAGATGACAGCACATTGTTTGGGAGGGAAAAAACCTTACTGTTTAACCTGTGTTTATGTAACACCCCATATCTTTATTAAAGGTTGAGGGCAAACTTCTGGATAAGAGGCTTTAGGTAAATACAACGTTAAATAATTGCTAGTTGATTTTCTCTCCCTTTTTTTGTGGTACTGGGGAATCAAACTCAGGACCTTGCACTTGCCAGGCAGGCGAGACACCACTGAGCTACGTCCCTGGCCCTGATTTTCTCTCTTTTGAAATCTAGTAAATACAATCATTTTGAAATCTGATAAATATCATCATTACTAAGACCCAGATGTTAATCTAAGCAACTAATTTGTGAAGGATGGAAAGAGATCAAATTTCAGATTTGAACTATGTTTTACAATTACTGATTTCACTTAAACAACTTTTCTAAAACCAGCTTTTAGGAGATTATAATAATCCATTTGGCTGCTCCCCCCAAGAAAGAAATGGAATGACACTACAAAGAAACCTATTAATAATTTGCAATTGAATTAATGTTATTTGTAAATTTATATTTAATGAAATAACCTGAAATGAATAATTAACCTTGAAATATTTATAGAAATATTTAACCTTAAAATAGTTATTTTGTGGTAACATTATAATTTGTTGATGCTTTTCAGAAAGGGTATTTTTAATGAAATGTAAATTAAGCCCTTTGCACTGCTAAAATACACATTTTTTTGGTCTTATTTAAACTTAGGAAAGTCAACAAATTTTTTTTGTGATAACCAACTTTGTGCCAATTCTAATTTTTGTTAGATTATTGGATTACAAAATACTTCAGAAGTGTGTAGTTTATCGGAGTTTTAAATTGTTCTTCCCCTTGGTGTTTATTAAACAACTTTTCTTTTAAAAGTATTGTAAATAATACAACAGTTAAATTCAATATAAACTATGTCTAAATTGATCTAATTAATTAGTAGTAAATCAAGGGTTCTATGAAGAAGACACTAACATTGCTTTTTCTAAACATAGCAGTGACAACAATAATGGGATTTTCTAGATAATCCTGTATTTATCAATAATTATATATTAATCTAATTATAGTGGTATATTGTAACCCATTTATAAATAAACAGATCCCAAAATATTTCCCATGTCTCCAGCTAGTCTGGGTTAGTATTCTGATATGCTGAGTCTGTATTCGCATTTAACAAGTTGATATTAGAGCAGCATTTGGTAATGTCAGCTATCTGTACCGGGCAGTGTGAAATTAAATCACCACTTCAGTCAGAGACCCTGGTTTCTAAAGCACCAAGAGTTCTACAGATTCTTTTCTTCTGTGTTTAGCTCCCAGCCTCCAGCAGTGTGGTATCAGGTTTCTAGCTCTCTATAATCAACAGCTTGTTAATGACTAATTTAAAAAATCTAGTGAGAACTTTTACCTGCGTTGGGACACAGGCTCTGTTCTGTATTTACAAGTTAGAAGGAAGCTGGAACTCTGTAGTCTGAATAATGTTTATTCTGGGCACAGCAAAGAATGTAACAGTAACTGGCATATGTTTATTATATGCCTTTTGAAATACAATATTACTTTTGTAAAGGCTATATAGTGACTTGATCTCCAAATAGAAATTTGATTTTTATCGTTATGAATAATATTTTGTCAGCTCAGTCAACAAATAGGTTAAGGAACTAAGGTACTTGTGGAGCTGCAAAAATCATTACTACTGAAATTTCTCAAATCTGTATAGTAGTTACTTTACTCTGTTATTTTACTCTGCCTGCTTTTTGAATCTCCTGTGTTATGTTGTGAGAGGCCCAGAGTCTTCCTTATCTGATGATTATCTAAGATGCTTTACAATTGTGACCAGGCTTGTATTGTTCACTACGTATATGCATGTTTTATCAGAACCATTTTTTATAGTTTTTCTTTTTGTTATATAAGTTTTTGTTCATTATCTGTTACTTAATTCTGGATAGGTAAATTTCTTCAGCCTAATGGAACTGAACTTTTAAATAATTTATTTTTCAATTATTTCAGTCTTTATCACTCCAGTGATTTCAAAGTCTTTACTACTCAAGATTGTCCATTGTGATGATTTAATAAACATTTTAAATACATAACTTATTTTAGTGTCCCATTATTTTCCCATCCCTTCTTTTATTAAATTTAGCAGACTATTTAGACATTTGGTTAACCTTATTGTGAACGGTCCTCAATCTTTCCCAGAAAACAAATGTAATTTCTAAATATTAACTCTAAAACTATGATACGACAGCTATGATGACCAGTTTTGGAAATTCTGTGGACAATGTGTGTGTTCATTTCTTAGAACTTAAAAACTGTGATCTTGATTTCGGAGTAGGGGAAGTTGAGCATTTTGCTTTGAGATCCTTTGAGTTCTCTGCGGCTGTGTCTTCTTCCTTTCATTCATCCAGCACACATTTGAGCTCCAGGCGCTAAGAATAAGAGATGAATAAAATGTAGTCTCTGCCGGGAGCTCCCATTATAGTGAAAGGGCGCACAGGTGAACAGAACTGTTTCTATGTGCTTAGTACCCAGTGTGCTGAGAAAGGGTGTCTGAGGAAGACAGGGCAGGACTTTTTAAGAGGAAGGAGCAAGTGGAAGAGGGGCCTTGAGAGTGTCTGAGAAGCAGTTGGAGCTTATCAGGCAGCTCCTTGATGGTGGGGCTGTTACCTGCAGCACACTTCTGTGTGGGGCGCATAATTCCCATGGAAGGGTTTCAGCAGCAGCCCTGGTTCTCACCAGCAGATGCTAGTCACGCCCCTCTGCAGAGTGACAGCCAGGTGTCTCCAGACATTGCCAAATGTCCCCAGGGGCAGGACCCCCTCTACCCGAGCATCACTACCTCAGGCAGAAGGCAAAGCCCACACAACCGGCCCTCACTGTAAGTGGTTTGCACTCTGGTGGGCTGAAAGGGGGTGGGTCGGAGCCCCTCCTGCTGAAGAGAAAGTTGTGTGTCCCTGGTGACAGCAGTTAGGCGACACACATCATACTGTATTTGATGTGCAGAGGGCTTGTTGTTATGTTTGCAGAAGATAAGTTTTTGTAACATAATGGATTATAAATGGATCAGAGTTTTCTTAGCTCAGATGACTGGGTGAATGGTGATGTCATGAGCCAAGATAGGAAAGTGGGAAGGAGCCAGCTTTGGGGTGGATGAAGAAGGTGGTTGTGTGGCTGAGTCTGCGCTGCTGTCAGGGGCACCTGGGGATGCAGAGGAGGGTGGGGAGCACTGGAGACCCAGAGTGGGAGCTGGGAGAGAGTTAAAGCTCAGGTAGGAAGAACTCAGCCAGGGAGAGCAAGAACTGAGATGTGAGGGGAGTGCAAGCCAAATTCTGAGCACCAGGGGTTTCAGTGAGATGGCGAAGGAAGAGACAGGCGATGGAGAGCCACCAGACGGCCAGGAGTCACGGTGACCTGGAGTCACAGGGAGGGCAGAGGGCTGAGCACCCACGAGAGATACAAGCAGGAGGTGCTCAGTGATCTCCCAGGGGGACCTTTTCTGGGGTGCCTGACACCAGGGATGATAGGCAGTTTGAAGGAACAGTCAGTAGGTGAGGCAGCAGGAGGGGCGCGCACAGGTGGCCTGCTGAATAGCTTACGACGCCTGAGAGACAGCGCCAGCAAGGCTCATGGAGAACACTATGACTCTGGGACACACTTACCACTCCAGAGTGCAGTCTCTTCCAGGACGGAGGAAAAGGTTGTCACTCTGAGTAAACAGGCAGTGATCACTGAAACGGGGGCCCAGCCACACAAATGAAGGGAAGGGAAATAGACAGTGGGAACTGGAGCCACTGTGAATATTCACAGTCATTTGGACATTCTTATTCTGACTTTCTCAGTTCCCTCCCTACCACCAAAAAGAGGACGAAACAAAACCCAGCTTCCTCAAAGAAAGCAAGTTAGGGTGAGGCCCTGCAGGAAACTCTCCTGTCCAGAAGCCTCCCTCTCTGGACCAGGACAGGGTCCTGAGCCTTAGGACAGGGACAGGAAGCTGAGGGGCAGGGCCAGAGGGGCAGGGCCAGAGGGACAGGCAGGTCCAGGTCAGCAGGAAAAGATGGAGCTGGGAGAGGAGTTCACATCTCCTCAGC